CCTGGGGACACTACAACCAACCTCTAACTCATGGAGGTTATGGCCCTACAGGGGCATGTAACCAATCACCCGGTACTGGACTCCATCAGAGAATACCAGCGTTTTTCCACTGACCAGTGTGAGAGCTAAAAAGTTGGAGACGAAGGGTTCCCGCCTTATCATCGAAGATTAGGGTTGGAAGAGACCTCAGGAGGTTTCTAGTCCAACCCCCTGCTCAAAGCAGGACCAATCCCCAACTAAATCATCCCAGCCAGGGCTTTGTGAAGACAGGCCTTAAAAACCTCTAAGGAAGGATTCAGAGTAGCAGCCGTGTTAGTCTGTATCCGCAAAAAGAACAGGAGTACTTGTGGCACCTTAGAGACTAACACATTTATTAGAGCATAAGCTTTCGTGGGCTACAGTTGCATCCGAAGAAGTGGGTTGTAGCCCACAAAAGCTTATGCTCTAATAAATTTGTTAGTCTCTAAGGTGCCACAAGTACTCCTGTTCTTTCTAAGGAAGGAGATTCCACCACCTCCCTAGGGAACCCATTCCAGTGCTTCACCACCCTCCTCGTGAAATAGTGTGATGAAGTGGGGGATTTTCTTGTGTTTTCCTTGTTTTTCCAATGGTTTGCATGCAGAGGGGGCGAGACTCAGTTTCCCTGGGGGTTACTGGTTTAACGAGGTGAGGGAAGAGGGAGTTTGTGGTTACAGAGGACCGGAGAGGGAACTTGGGACCCCAGCCGATGGCCTGGAGGATGGACACCCCAGCGACTGGTGACCTGATGACCCGGAGACCCAGCTCAGGAGTCACAGCTGGTTCTGGCCAGTGGGAGGACTGGCTGTGAAGAGAGGCCCCTGGGGACCTGACCAGCCAGTTCCAGCCAGAGGGGGCCAGAGGAGGGCTGAGAGGAGAGGAGGCCCAGGCGACCCGGTTTCCCTGGAGAGAAGACAATGGACCGAAGGGGGGCTTGGGGCCAGGGGTATCAGATGCCCAGCTGGGAAGCAGGGGGGCTCAGGGCTGGAGAGGGGGAGCAGGCAGAGCCCACCTGGATGCAGGGGAGACCGGGATGTGCTGGGCTGAGGGAGGCCAGGCCTGAGGCCCAGAGAGTTTCCTGTGCTGTGTTCAGACGCTCAATAACCCTCCTGTGTGACACTGGCTGAGAGTCACTCCGGGCTAGAGAACAGGGGGCATCCACCCCTTTGGGGGGGGAGGTCCTGGGGGTCCAGAGCGAGTGGACTCCCTGAGGGGGCCCACGGCGAGAGACAGACATACTAAGGTTCAGAGAGGTGCGGTGCCAGGAGGTGGAGGGGGCCTGACCCCGAGAGTGGACCCCCGAGAAGGGCTGTCGCACTGAAGGGGGCACCCCCCATGGACCGCACAGGGCCAAGAGTGGGCACAATCTGTGAGTCCGTGACAAATAGTTTTTCCTAATGTCCAGCCTAGACCTCCCCCACTGCAACTTGAGACCATTGCTCCTTGTTCTGTCATCTGCCACCACTGAGAACAGCCGAGCTCCATCCTCTTTGGAACTCCCCTTCACGTAGCTGAAGGCTGCTATCAAATCCCCCCTCATTCTTCTCTTCTGCAGACTAAACAAGCCCAGTTCCCTCAGCCTCTCCTCGTAGGTCATGTGCCCCAGCCTCCTAATTATTTTTGTTGCTCTCCGCTGGACTCTCCAATTTGTCCACATCCTTTCTGTTGTGGGGAGCCCAAAACTGGACGCAGTACTCCAGATGTGGCCTCACCGGTGCCGAATAGAGGGGAATGATCACTTCCCTTGATCTGCTGGCGATGCCCCTACTGATGCAAAAGCTATTTAAGGCAGGGGAGTAACATCATCATGGTTCTTCTTCACTGACTCCCAGCCCAAAGGAGATGCTTGGAAAGACCCAAGAAACAAAGATTGAACTGGAGGAGAAGGGGTCGCTCTGTTTGCTATCCCTTAGAATCACTTCACATCTATCATCTGTCATTAATAAACTCGTTTTTGTTTTGTCTAAAACCAATCTGTGGGAGTCATAACAAGGAGTGGAAAGCTTGTATCTTTCCTGTCCACATTGAGAGAGGAGGTGAATTTCATGAGCTTACGCTGTACACTTCCCTGTGCAGCAGAAGACGGTACGACTTTGGGCTGATCCTCCAGAGTGGGGGTGTGCACTCGAGTATCTAGGCACTTCCTTAGCTGAAACTTTCCCATGCAGGGGCTGGCCAGAAAGCCTGTTTGCATGTTACCACCGCTGGGTGTGTCCCTACCTGGTGAAAGTGAGAGACCAGGAGTGTGTCTGTAGCTTGTCACAGCAGTACAGCATGAAGGGAGCCCCGGCAGCTGGGTCAGGCGGGTACCCAACGCGCCCTCCATGTTAAAGGTCACAGCCCTATACGGACCTTATGTTTTACCTCTTCACCATCTATCTAGGTGAAAAGTCCCAAACATATGTAGGATAACTTCACCATAGCTCAGCATACAGGGTGTGGCCTGCGGGTCCCTTGTGTTACAGCCAAAATATATGCTAATATAAACCTATAATAATCAAACCCATAAGAAACTATAGGCAAGCAAGCAGGCTAGCCTTGGCTGCATCCCATGTACCTGTTATATACGTCAATTTGTTGCCAGGACACTTGTGTGGTTGACACATGTACCTGTGGTCAGAACTTCCCCTTAAACCCTATTTCCAGCTCCCCTAATATTGGGGGGGGGGGGTTTCCATTGGGCCGTTTCTCGGTGCAAAGTGCCTAGGCCCCAAGCCTTGTGCTAACATGCAGAAGCGAATGTCTTCCGGGAGACAGGCCTGGAGGTTCCTTGCCTTTGTGCTGACTATAATGCAAAGCATTGGCTTGCTAAACCCAGGGTTGTGAGTTCAATCCTTAAGGGGGCCATTTAGTGATCTGGGGCAAAAATCAGTCTGGGGATTGGTCCTGCTTTGAGCAGGGGGTTGGACTAGATACCTCCTGAGGTCCCTTCCAACCCTGATCTTCTATGATTTCTATGATATATGATAATATCACCTCTGGAGCCTGTTGAAAAAACTTGGCGTCACATTAGCTCTCCGCCAGCCATCCGGTGCTGAAGCTGATTTCAACGACAGGTTACAGACCGACAGTTCGTAGTTCTGCAATTTCACATTTGAGTTCTTGCAGAAGTTTGGGGTGAATCCTATCTGGTCCTGGTGACTTATTGCTGTTTAATTCATCAATTTGGTCCAAAAATCTCCTCTAATGACACCTCAATCTGGGACAGTTCCTCAGATCTGTCACCTGAACAGAAGGGCTCAGATTTGGGAATCTCCCTTCCGTCCTCAGCTGGGAAGACCGATGCAAAGAATTCATTTAGTTTCTCCGCAATGGCTTTATCGTCCTTGAGCGGTCCGTCAGCATCTCAATTGGCCAAGGCCCCACTGGTTGCTTAGCCGGCTTCCTGCTTCTGATGTACTTAACACATTTTTTTGCTGTTACTTTCTGAGGCTTTGGCTAGCTGCTCTTCAAATTCCTTTTTGGCCTTCCTCATTGTATTTTTATCCAGAGTTTATACTCCTCTCTCTTTTCCTCACTAGGATTTAACATCCACTTTTTAAAGGATGCCCTTTTGCCTCTCACGTCTTCTCTTACTTGATCGTTTAACCATGGTGGCACTTTTTTGGTCCCTCTTGCTGTGTTTTTTTTTTTTAATTTGGGGGTATGCATTTAAATGGTGTCTTTAAAAAGTTTCCATGCTGTTTCCAGGTATCCCTGTATAACCAGCCGCCCCGCCCCAGAGGTGGTCGCATCTCAGCACCGGGCGAGGGGTCCCTGGATAACCAGCTGTCCCCAAAGAGCCTGGAAAAGACTGGATTACAAAGGGTACGTGCAACGTCCCGGACAATGGACAGGGACCAGGATCACAGGGGTCTAGGAGGGGAGTGGGATCTGGTGGGTTAGAGCAGGGGGTGGCTGGGACCCAGGACTCCTGGGTTCCATCATCACCAGGTCTGCCCTGTACTTGTATTAATCCCTTTTCTTTCTTCTCCCTCCTCAACTCTGCAAACCCACCACAAGCTGTTTTGCTCAATCCTTGGAGAAACCTCCCTTGTTAATCTTCCATCTCCTCAGGCAACATTAATATTTACCCTCCCTGTTCCCTCCCGCCCCATCGTGAAGAGACTTGTTCATTTCAATCCACGGAAACTCAAATGAACTTTCACACCACTTTGCTTCCACGAGGCACGTTCAACCTTTGGTCCACCTGCCGGGGAGGCGGGGGGGGGGGGGGGGGGGGGGCCCCCCCCGGCCCCTTCCAACCCAGGGGAGTCCGCTTGGGTCCCTTTCTCTCCCGCGCTGGTTAGGGGACCATGAACTCGGACGCCTGCCAGAGGAATTGGCTGGTTTTAATTCCCCCCGAACGCAGCTCTGTTCCAGAAAAGGTGGCACTCGAAACTGCCACTTTTGTCCCCCCTGGAAACTGTCATTTCTCTAAACAACCCCCTCCCCCCTTTTAAATCACCAAATCCTACCTTTTGGAGGGTAAACGATGCCCGATGAGACCCCCCCCTTCCCTTCCCCAGCCACACCCGTCTAATTACACATCTAGCAGCACAAAATCCATAAATCCGGGACCGGCAACTGCATTTCTGGGCTCTGGGACATCACTAACGCCCTGGCATGGGGTACAAAGCTGGGTGTCCATTTCCTGCCAGCCATTCTCAGCAAGTGGGGAAACTGAGGCAGGGGCCTGCTGCCCAAGAGATTACGGGAGGGGGCCTTTTACTTCCTGTTTGCCCTCGATAGGTCAGTGCCGTATTTCCCCAAATGAATGCAGTGGCCCGATCCCCCTCCCCCTTTATAAAACGTTCTTTGCCTTAGACCCAGACTCTGATCCAATTTCTGCTCCTCGCTGGGGTCTCCCCCCTTCCTCAGCATCCTCCCCGAATTATGGACCTCCAGAACAGGTCCTAGGCTTCCAGCAGGCTTCTGGGAGGTTGGAGCCGGAGCCCAGAGCCCGTGGGAGGCACCGGAGGAGAATCCAGGAGGGCAAGTGGCTTATTTCTGCGAAGGAGCACCCTTCTAGAGAGAGACCCCTCACCAGGCTGGAATTTACCACATTAACCCTTCCAGAACCTGGTGATGGTCCCAGCACCCCCTTGCAGTCACACCGGCTCCCTGAGATCTTGGCTTCTGGCCGACCAGTCTCTGTCCTGGGAGGAATGTTCCCCAGAGGCCGGTGTCAATGGGGCTGGCTCTGCCCCGGCCTCCACCTGGGTGGCCCGGCAGGCAGGAGAGGAGGAGCCCAGACAGGAGAAGAAGTTGGGCAGAGTGACCAAAACCAGGCTCCCAGCCAAGAGGAAAGCCCCAGCTGCCAAGAAAGAAGCCGTGTAGTTCCCAGTCATGTCCCGCAACCAACCTGGAACAGAGAAAGGACAGAGTCATCTAGAGCAACAGCAGGAAAACCCAGGCTGAGCTAGAACAATAGCCAGAGAACATAGGGCAACCTAGAACACAAAGGCAATCGAGAATGGCACAAGAGCCAAGTGTGATCTAAAACAACATGCAGAGAGCACAGGGCTACCTAGAACATGAAGGTGACCTAGAATGTCATATGAACCCAAGGTGACCTAGAACAATATCCAGAGAACGTAGGGCAAACTAGAACATGGAGGTGTCCTACAAACACCATAAGAACCCAGGGTGACTTAGATCAAAACCTAGAGTGACCTAGAACCAGGGTGACCCAGAATGAGGTCACAAGAACCTTGTGGGGTCTAGCTGGTTGGAGCAGGGGGAACTGGGCGTCAGGACTGCTGGGTTCTATCCCTACCTCTGGGCCTGTCTCCAGGGGCTACCAAATGGGGTTGGAGGGCAGCTAATCCCAAGCAAGATGATGTTCATGTGTCAACCACTGGTCCCAAGACCAGGGTGGGGGCCAGGAGTCTTGGTTCCAAGAAGGACCAAGTCTATGACTTAAGGTTACGGGGAAAAAGGCAGGGTTGGGGATTGATTTACTGGGGGGGGAGGGAGGAGCTCGTTTCCAATTAATTGAATGGGAGGAGAAGGAAGTCAGCGGCAATCTACCAGAGAATGGCGCTCCCAGAAGCCCGCCGATGCTCTCCATCATCTGCAGCAGCCCCATCGAGCCGAAAATCCGCCCGATGCCCACAATTTCCGGCAGGATGGAAAAGACCACGGGGGTGAGCGCCCCGGAGAAGAACCCGTAGCAGACGCCGATGGCCATCAACAACGGGTAGCCGCGCCCCAGAGGCACCAGCGCCAAGGAGATGCCAGTCAGGGAGGTCCAGGCCACCAAGATGTGGCTGAGGCGGAAAGCCCGGCAGTCGGCCAGCCAACCCGAGAGGAGGCGGCCACACAGGTCGGCCATGGCCGCCACGGACATGAGGAAGGCGGCCTGGTACTCGTCGAAGCCCAGCTCCCGGGCTCGGGCCACCAAGTGGACGTAGGGAATGAAGTAGCCGGTGTTGATCAAGGTCACGGCTAGCACAAATCTCATGAAGGGCCAGTGGGAGAGCAAAGGCAAGCCAAAGAGGGTGGAAAGCTTCCCCAGGCAGCTCCCGCCGGGGTCCCCAGGGCTGGCCAGGTCCTCCTTGAGGGTCAGGGGGCGGATGAGGGCTCCGCACACCACCAGGTTGAAGGACATGCCGGCCACCACCAGGAGAGCCCCTCTCCAGGCGTAGGTGTCCACCAGGAACTGGAAGAGCGGGGAGAAGGCGAAGGAGGACAGGCCCACGCCCGTGAAGGCCAAGCCTGTGGCGAACGTCCGGCGCTTCTTGAAGTAACGGGCCACCGAGGCCACGGAGGGTGTGAAGACCAAGGCCCACCCAAAGCCTGCAAAAAAAGGGGGCATAAAATACACCCGTCAGGGCCCCCCAACCACATCCAAGTTGTTATGGCAACAAGCCGGGATGTGGCCACAAATGAGACTGTTCTGGGCCCATCCACTTTTTCCTCGTTTTTCCAAAACGGCTGCTGTGTGGCTGCAGCCATTTTGAATGAGGCCCAGCTCCTTCCTCCCCCAGCCGCAGTGATTACTACCCCCGCCAATAGGGTTCCCCCCTTATACAGATGGCCATTTTGAATGAGGCCTAGCTCCTTACGCCCCAACCCCCTACAGTGGCGGCCATTTTAAGTTTTGCCCTACCCCCACCCATCAACCAGTGGCCATTTTGATGGGCCTCTCTTTCCTTTGATGCCCTTCACCCCCAAACTGTCCCCCTCAGCGGCAGCCATTTTGAATAAG